GATGGGTATTCCTCGACCATGGAAAGGAATCCGTTGTCTGTTTTTGACTTATGGATCGTTAAAGATATATGATGCAGAAATAAAGATTCATAACAATTAGTAATAAGTGTTCAGTTTTGCGAAGCAGTTTTAATTTTGCAATTCTGGTCATGCGGAAGGTCGAAAGACTTTACTAAAGAGCCTAGGTTTCAAAAAGCAACAGACTTTTCCTCATCAGTGCAAAGGTTTACTGATACCCTGACAATGCATAATGTTTCTTTCGTCTTGTACAGTGACTGTTCACATAAATAAAACCGTACTTTTTATATGCTATATCTTGGTGGCATTTAAAATGTAAAATATTTTCCTCCTGTTCCTTCGCTATTTTTTCTTGTCTTACTTAAGCCCCTTACCTTCCTTTTTCAATGCAAAGTTGTTTCTTTCCATTCGTAGTTCTAAAGTTAATGCTATATTTTGCGTTCCTCACTTTGTACCTTAATAATCTCTACCGTTTTATTCGACTGCAGCGAATAATGCATGAGACTAAGACTATATGTCTCACGATTAAAGTCGGTTTTGCCTCTCGGTGGAAATTTTGGTTCTGTGACCATTCAGCTAGAAGAAATTTCGTATTGTATTTTCACACTAGATCTGTATCAACTTTCAAAAGCCGTATTTTTGTACTTGTACATCGATCTCTTTCATCGCTTTCTATTGTTTTAGATCTGCGCTTTGCTGTGGTCTAAAGAGCATATGGAAATCATATCCGGCCACGGATATCCCAGTTTTCAGCTGTGCGTATGGAAATACCCGAAAATGACCAAAGTTGCAGAGTTGATCGGTAACACTGCCGCTGCTTTTCTTTTACATCGCCATTTTGACTGTTGCGCGTTTTAAGGACATACATCTAGAGTTTTACATATGGCGATGTCTCCTTGCGGCGAATTCGTTGTCAGTGCGGCAGCCGATGAAACGCTGCGGATCTGGCACTGTTTTGCGACAGACCCGGCTCGTAAGAAAACGGAGCAGGTTGCTAAAAAGACTAACCTCTTCGATGGACCAAGTGGCACGTTTGGACCAACATCAATCAGATGATCAGTGACCTTTTGAAGTTTTACTGGGTATCTCCCTTTAGCGGATGAACTCTGTTCATTCACTCTTTCTTCCCCAGTTGTCATGCTGCGCGAAAAAAGTAGTTTTTAAATTTTTGAGTTTTTGTACTGGATAAAGTCACTTTTTCAATTTGATCTCTTTATTCTTCTTTCTACATCCATGGAGATAGGCTCACTTTGATAATGAATGTTTTACTAAACTTCATGTACATGCCGATGCGAAAATAGTGATGGTTGTCTCCTCTGTAAAACTGCTTTTCTTGAGGATATTTATAGTGCCAAATTAAGACAACTACAATCTGCAGGGATGTTAAAACTAATAACTTATTTGACACCATGGTTTATTCCGTAAGACGAACTTTTTAACGGTTTTCAAAAGTGTAGCATTACCGATCTTTCCGGACAACGGCGAAAGTTACCATTTTGAAGGTCACGGTCATTATTCTGAATTCTGATTTACAGCCTCGAAACATCCACTCTTTTGAAGCATCGTAAAGAGACATTGGGCACTTTTCAGCAGTGCTGTTTGCGCAACATTCCCAAAGTGTGATGGTTCCGTCGAACGAAGCATGAAATGATATTGGCGATGACCAGCCTGAGAATGCTGTCTAAAAAAAATTAAGGACCGGCGTCTGTCGTGGTTTAGTTCCGACAGAGAATGGAGATTTATCCAAAACCATCCCCCTCTGAAAAGTAGAAAATGACCGCATTCGCGTCAGGGGCCAAAATCGCATCCTAAAGCCGCCGCTAGTGGCGGACTTGCTTAGACGAGGAACATGACATTTTCTGCAGCAAGGAACTTCGCCTAAAATATTGTGAGAAACTTAGCGTTAAGCCTAGTTAATCTGGTTAGTTGATACTTGACTCTGGTACCTCAAATGACGATACAACAACAACAGTAAACGATGTCCGCCATGAGGCGGGAAAGCTAGAAACAGTACTCGTTGGAAGAAGTCTTGTGTCTCTTTAGCAAATAATCTACGCTGGGTTTTTTAAAAGATAATCATCATCATCATCTTCCATCGCCGCTTCTCCTTTCGGGTCGCGGAGGCAGACGCGCCAGACAGTG